ACAAGCTCTCATAAAGCCATAAAGAGCTTCTGTTTCCCGACACTCTGCAACAGCGGGAAGGCGCAGGCAGGGAAAAGCAGCAGTCCCGGGCCACGTGGCAGGTCAAACCACCGCCCAGTTTGCTGGCATCCTCTGAAGTTTAAGTATGCTTTGGGCCAGCAGTGAATCATCCCTGGCAGGTAAGAATGATATTAATTTATGACATGCCAAATGCAAGCAGATCTTTTGGTGGCAGTCCAATGGTTTTAGTCTTATTAACACACGGCGGCGGCTCAGGTTGCAGCTGTGCACATTAAACTTTGGCAAGTGGCATTTTAAACAATGACAAACTTCAGAACAATCACTCCACACATGGAGCCAGGCCAGGCAAAACTGAAGGGTGGCAGAATAAAGGTCAAGCGGGGGGAACCTGTTTGTCTGGGAGAGGAACAGGTGGCCCGCTTGGGTTGCTGCAGGGTCTTTAAACCGTCTGAAGGACACAGTCATGGATCATTTTAACCCATTAAGCTGCTTAAGCCTTCCCTTACACTGGTTTGAACTTCAAGAGAGTATTAAATCTTAAAGAGCTTAGTAATACATCTTGAGGAAAGCTCTCCCCTTGTGCATGTGCATTGTGCATCCAGAGTGCACATCCTGCCACTGACGACGAGACCCCTCCGGCAGCCAAAACACAGAAACCAGAGCAGCTGAAACGCAGAAAGAGGAGCATCAAGTCACACTGGGGCACAGACAGCAAGGGGAACACGCTCCCATCACCCCCCTGCCACTCAGCAGGCCCGAGGACACCATGAGCAGCACAGGCCAGAGAGGAAAATCATCCCCTCCTCGGTTCCTCCCTCACAAGGGACACACAAGCAGCTGCCTCGGGTGGTGTCCGGGGAACTCAAACCACACATCCAGCAAGGAGGGCTGGGAGAGAGAGGGACTTGTGAGGGCAGCTCCTTACCTTGACACGTGGGCAATGCAAAGCCAGTCCCAACCATTCCTGCCAGCTGTGTTTGCTTCAGAAAATATGGGGATGGAGACATAAAAGACATTTTCATGGCAGGAAATGTAAATATTCCAAGCCATGTTTCGAAGCTGTGTTTCTCAGTTTGAGAGATATCAAAATAAATGTTTTTTGAAGTGTCAAAAGCCAGATGTTTTAGAATAAAACAGCAGAATAAGACCTGACATGCAACAACGTTTTCCAATGCAGTGCTTCCAAAACGATTGTTTTCAGAATTTTTAATTTGCCTCCCCCAGCCCAATCTTACCTTTGTAAGCAGAATTTCTATTTTCCAACCAGGTACTTCCCAAAAGAAATTTTTTTTTTTTTTAGCAATACATCAGATCTGGTTAAATAAATACAAGGATTTACCTACACAGGAGATCTGATTCAGAACAGAGCAGGGTGTAAATGCATAAAAAAAAATAGTTATCTCGGATTTAAATAGCAGGTGTGTGGATGTGCTTATTCCCAAACGAAATTAAGGGAATTAAATTCTTTCATAACAAGGCACTTTTATTCTGGAATAGGAGCATCCACATATGAAATTAATCAAGAATAGCTAAAGCCACAGTAGGGTCTCAGGCTACCGACTGTAAGTGAAAACAGTAAATTCATTCTGCCTCTTGCAGTTTCTTGCTACATAACACACCAGATCGGCCTGGATAAACGTGCCTGTAAGTAAATGACTAGTCCCAGCATGTCTGTGAGCACCTCATGACAATACTTCAATGAGATGGACTGGAATCAATATTTTTCATCTTGGCAGCTTGGGGCCAGAGAGCAGGAGCTTGGGCAGGGACAGCCACTGGCACGGGAAGGGGATGGAGCAGCACTGGCTTGGGAAGACATTTCTAGCCAGTAGGTATCAGTTCCTGCACCATTTGAGCTTCCTGGAGGAAGGAGGGAAAAAGGAGATAATCAGAGGTTTTCAATTCAAACCTCGCAAATAATCTCTCTTGGGATCAGACACAAGTTTGGCTACAGTTTAGATCGAGCTACTGGAGAAATCTGAGCCCCCCTGTTTCATAGTGGAGGCTTTAGAGCCAGGATTACATAGTGCTAGATCAAAAACCTGATACAAAGTACTGATTTATTATAAATGAATTCATTACTTGAGGTGAGATCTCCTCAGTTCACCTGCAGCCAGAACATGGATTTGTGAGGGGGGTGACTGTGCAGAAATGGGATGAGGTGGTGCTGTCAGGTGCAGCACAGACCTGTGTCACTGTGCAGGTAACAAACTGCTTTAATATTGGTGACAATGGGACCACATCAGGGGTTTGGACTGACCAGAGAGGGGAACATCATCTTCTGGTCAGGACTGAGAGGGGAAAGAAGGGCTGTTATCTGCAACCATGGAGGCAGAGAAACAGGAGAGGCATTAATTACACTGTGAGAGCAACGAGTGCCTCAGCAAAACTATAAATTCAAATCTCAGTTCTACAAAGAGGCAAGATACAAATAACTCCTTGTCGTGGCAGCTGCTCAGTTTTTATAGAAACAAAAATATATAACAGTAAGTTGTGACTATACAGAATAATTAATCCTGGTACTTTTAGACATGGGGTTACCCATTGCCTGGACAACTCCCTGCTTTTCATCCTGCTTTAAAAGGAACACTTACCTGGAATTCAGATAGGAGACCTTGCCAGCCCTATTCCAAGGCAGGCTTTCTGAAGAAAGTTAAAGCTGCTTTTCTTGGTAATTCTTCTCTTCATGTATCATCTACATTGATTTGGCTTTTTGCAAAATGAAACCAGAGAGCCAACAGAGACAAGGCAAAGGCAGCCAAATCCAGGTCCCTGCTCAGACTGCTCTGAAACTCCAGTGCCAGGGAAGCAATCACAGTTATCACAAACTGACCCAAGAATATTCAGCTTGATTCCTCTAATTGCTCTGACAACAAAAATCAATGGTTGCAACTCTGTAGCATAAAGGAAACCTAATAAGATTGATGTAATAGCTACAAGTGCAGAATTTTAGGATCCAGCAGCAGAACAAAAGCAGAATGGGGCACATTTGATACCACCATGGGTTAATATTTACCTGTAGAAGAAATACTGGTGATCTTTTTACACATTTTTTTTTCCATGAGATTCAGGCAATGTCATCAGCATCTTCAGGCTGTATCTGCATTTTATGATGAATTGTGTGCTCTCATTCTTAAACAAAATGTTAACGTTCCAGTGGACCTTGCCTGCACCAAAAGGGGATTTAACAATGCATTTTTTGCTTCCTTAATAAAACGGTTCAATTTGCTGTTACAAGAGCACACTTGGAGAACATTCATAGTGCAACAACCAATAAACACATAAACTACATTTTTCATTACAAGAAAGCTGTCTCAACTCACCTGAAGAAAACAATTTAGACATAACTTGGTGAGGCTCACAGATGACAGAACACCTTCACAGCACCATCCCACAGTCGTGTTTAGCAACAGGACAGGCACCCCTGAGTGACAGCTTTCTCTGGCAGAAAGAGCCAGTCAATATTTACATTCCTCGTGAACATACAAAAGAGCATCAGGGTACTTGAGAAATTAGCCCTTGATTGCCACTTGGAAGGCATCATCAGAAAGTCAAATCACTTCAGCACCTCCAACAACAGAACTGCTTTCGCTCCTGAGGCTCCAGGAACGAGTCCCAGATGTGTCAAGGTCTTTCCCTGGGAGCTGGAGGTGTCTGAAGGGCACAACGGGTGCTGGAAAAGCCTGACATGAGGGTTTTATTACTTAAAATGTGAAAACACAAAGAAAGGATTTGGTCAACTCTTGCCCTCTTTCTTGCTGAAGTAGCAGACACCAATCTGATATTCCAGAGCCAGCTCCAGGGAATACCAGGAGGATTCTTCAGTGCAGAACACTCTGCTGGACCATTCAGATTGCTGAAGTTGAGGGACACAGATGCAGTGGTTCAATTCTGCTCTCAAGTTCCCAAAATGTCACCACATAGAACAGCCCTAAATCTTGGCTTGGAAGTCACAAAACATCCAGTGCCTTTCCAAGTGAGATCTCGGCTCCTCTCATTTCCTGCATACAATAGCATTATTCAGCCACTGAAGTTTCCACTTAGCTTGCACTTATGCCAAGTACTTTTAATTGCAAAGGAAAAGGATGTTAAGCTCTCCCATTTCTTTCTTTCTAATTCATAAGGGACGCAGCAGTGGTTGGTAAAAGTTAGAGGTTGAGGGCTGTTCTCCCCCCATCTCACTCATTAAGGGACTCATCCTCCTCCTGCGGTGGGTAAACTGAGGTTACCTCCATCACAAGGGGAGGAAAACCCACACTGTCACCTGTAAAACACTAAAAAGGCAAGTCACTGTAAAGTAACTACAAACCAGGCATCAGGGGAGTCTGAATGGTCCCTAAACCCTGCAAGGTTTACAACTGGTGTGTCACCTTGACCAGCACAGGTCCCATTCCGTAATGGATTTGCAGGTACTCACCCCATACAGTAACTCAAACAGCATCCAGCTCAAAGACCTCATCACACCGTGGAGAGCAGCAGCTCTGACTGAAGCAAAGTGCTGCAGAGCAAGGAGGGAAATAACTCGAGAAACAGATGCTTAATTTCTACCTATTTTTGGCAGCCTTGTTCCTATGATATCTGTTAGATTGAGGGAGAAAAGCTGCTGAATGCTGCTTAGGACGTAATCCATGAACCACAGCCACGCCTCTGGACTATCAGGGTGGCAAAACAGTCCTACAGAAGCTTATTTTTCTTTTGATCAGTCCGTGGAAGGGTCTGGAGTTTCCATATGGCTTTTGTTGCCATTATGCAAGATCTGATGAGCTGCATTGTCTGAGACAAAAGGATTAAGTGAAATGAAGTGGTGTTTTGGACTTGGCAGTGTTTTAAGTGTTGTCACCCCACCTCTTCAGCCTTGGGACAAGAGACTTATTAGCTAATTACTATGCAAATGAAGCGAAATGTAAATTAAACGTTACATTCTAACATAGCTTAACAGCCCCAGGAGCAAGAATTTAGTTCACTGTAATGGACTGTAATTCTATCCAAAAATATAGTTTATTAACAGGCACATACAATAAATCGCACCACTAACTTTAAATAAACCATCTAGCAAGCTCACCTTCACACTGAGTGACATTTGGTTAATACAGAGCAAGAAAGCAGTTCACATGTGCTTCCCACAGACACAGAACGGGCTCAGTGGCAAACCAAGTTCGTTATAATCCAAAGAAAAAGAGGAAAAAAAGAAAAAGGGCACATAAAAGCAAAAGCAATGAAGACTTCACATGAGCGTTGCCACTTCTTTCCACCAGACCTTTGGTCTCTTACAAAATAGGTCTGTTAATACAAAAAGTAATAAAAACCTCTGGATTCAATTTACTCAGCCTCTTCCATCACAAGTTAACTATAACATTTTGCAACAACATGGGTAGTATTAAGAGGGAGGTAAGAGGCAAAGTTAGTTGGAATTATCCAAGTCCAGCTGCAGACAGAGGCTGCCTTGGGCTCTGGTGTTGCTGTCCCAGTTTTTGCAAGAAATGCAAAGACGGTAAAACGTTCTCCTCTCTCATCAGTTAAAGGTGATCCATCCGCCACTGACATCAAGGCAAAAGTTGGTGTGTTGTCAGTGGTACTCTGGTCATCCTCTCCGGGGAAAGGGCTGTCACTCTCGAGTCTCCAGCTCGGCTGTGATGTCAGTAAAACCTGACACGCCGCTGCCACCCGCGTGTTAGCACAGTCCTGTCCTCCCTCCAGGCCAGAACAAGGGATTCAGCAGAATTTGATCTGGAAGAATTGAAGCCAACTTGGCAATGAAGAGCTCTGCTCTGCTCACAGCAACATCTCAACCTCACCAAGTAAATAGAAGGGTTGTAAATGAACTTCGGTAGGAGCCCAAGAGAAGCATCGGGTCAAAACAGAGGAATCCACATTTCTTGATGTCAGACCTTGTTCTTCACACAGGAAAGGACACCTGCATTCCTGCTCCTCTGGGGGATGAACAGGCAGGTTCCCAAGAACAGTGCTGCAAATCTAACAGTGCCAGAACCACTCCAGTAGCATTTTTAGACGAAGCCAGAGACTCCTCCACTTCCTCCGTGCCAGAACAAAAAGTTACCTCTGTATAGGGCTCCAATTTTATGAACATGGTGCTTGTTATCACAACCTAAACAAAAATGATGCCTGTGCTCCCTAATTATAATAGGAGCTAATCTTTACTCAGAAAAATTTTGTAACAATATCAATGGGTTAAAGACTTTTTATCTCATTTCTCTCCTGCACCTCTTTGTTATGCCTAGAAAAAACAAAACAACAGAAACTTTTCCTGCTCCCAACCAAGTGAAGAGTTAAGATCTACTTTTATGACAAAAAATAGTCTTTTTAAATGCTCATTTTTTTCAACTGCTGGAACCAGATTTTTTGTAGTACAAAGGAAAATTTATCTGGGTGGGAACTAACCTGACAAACGAGACCAATCAAAAATTACCTAGAAAAAAACCCCAAACATTAAAGAGAAGTCCAAGCATTGTGACACCACTCACCAAGAAGCTCCCTCTCCCCTCTGCAATTTGCATAGCTGGCTCTCATGTTTGCTGGTTATGAAATACTCTTACAGTAGAACAACTTTAGAAAAATTTGGACAAGTGAGAATGGAGTTATTTTAATCTAGAACAATATCACCCAAAGATACAGATGAATACAAACACTGTTTGTACCAAAAAAACATCAGAGAAACACGAATTTAAGCTGCATTTTCAGTCTATATATTGGCTTTCCTCTTCCTTGTTTTATAAAAATAGGGTATGACATTTCAGCTTCAATTGCATGTTTAAGTCATTTATTCATTGAACATTCCATCCTTGAAATATCATCTATCAAAGTGTTAGTTAAGATTCATCCTGCTTATAGAACAGGCTAAATTTCTTCTGAACTGCACTTGTAGACAACAATAAAGAGACTGATATGGACTCAATAAGAAATAATTAGGTTGTGGGAAGAAGAAAGAAAATAATAAATAAATAATGATAATAATAATAATAATAAAATCAAGCTCCACTCTTCCTATCTGACTCCTAATAAAACAAACATTAATGCCTTTTAGGTGATCACAAGATTTAACTCCAAAACAATATTTACAGACCGAATTGTGATATGAACTGTGATTTAAAGTCTACAGCTTGCTATAAAAACCCGCAAGATAAAAATCTCCTTCACAGACAGAGGAAGCCACAGTAAAAATAATACTGAAAATTCCTGATCAAGACTATTGTATCAAAATCGATATTTGTAACAAAACCACAGCTCTCTTATCGCCTGACTGGGAAAAGTGGATTCTGTCTGTGATTCAGCTCTAACTGTACCTGGGCAATTTCCACCTCAGCTCTGGGTGCTGGAGGAAAAGGACAAAGCTGAGGATGGATTTTTTGCTGCCTCAGCAGTGAACCCTGTGGGGTGGGCAGGTCTGCTGGGACAGCCACATCCAAACCCAGTCAGAAATCCAATAGCACCGAGGCTGCCTGGCCACGGCTCCTGCTGCAAAGCAGAGTTAATAAATGGGATTTATTTTAGAAAGTTTCACAATTCTTAAACAGTAGATGATACTTGCATTCCTGAAGGATTAAGTTCTACATTTCTTACTGCTAATTCAACTCTCTTAAAAACCAACCCAGTAAAACCAGCAAAGATTTTACAAGTAACATGCACAACCTAAAAATTCCACCCTCAAAACTGCCTTTTTGGTACACTTTTAAGCTCTTAAGATGCTCTATTTATTGAAGAGATGCCAGGAAGCCTGCAGAGGGAACAAATGCTTCTTTGGCAAAAGGAAAACATTTTAATGCCTCCTGCCTTCAAAGTCCACACACCTCACCACAACATATGCTAATACCCTACCAAATAAGTCTCTTTATCTTGCCATTTTTATAACAAACTGTTTCATTCATATCTATTTCAGCTTGTAATTACCTACTGCACAGAGTAGCACACTGTGCTAAATCAACAAGTAGTTTATACCTAAGAAATAGAAATTAAAAAAAAAAAAGCCCAACACATGATGTTAAAAAAATATTGTATATTCAAAAACAAGTCAAGAGGGGCTAATTTTCTATAAACCGTTTCAGTATAAAATCAAATTTTTAAGTCAAGTAGGCAATTTGAGCCTTTTTCTCCATCCTTTGTTCTTTATTTAAAATGAACAAGATCTAACAAAGAAGGATTCCCACAAGTGGGACAGTGAGTGGGAATTTGCACCCAATCTGCCCTTGGTACATGAAAACAAGTGTTACAGCCCTTCTGAGCAGGTATCTGGGTAAGGATTATCCCTGTGAGTGGAGATACACACCTGCCCCTGGATTTCCAGCCTTCTCCAAGGCACACAATCCACTGACACACCTGGACAACTCAGCCAAATGCTGAATTTAAAAAAAGATCCAAGACCAGCTCTTTGCAGATCAACACTCTGCAACCGTAAAAATACAATAAATATAAACATTTACCATCATATTGCTAGGGTTTTTTCCCCCAAGGGAAATTGCTACTTAAAAGTCATCTCCTTCCTGAAGAAGTCAAAGAAACGAAAGGGGAACTCTTTTTAAAAAAATAAAAAAAAATTCAAACATTGAAAATAAAGAAAATGCACCCTCAAAAGGCTGGAGCAAGAGCCCTTAGTGCAGGCACCAGCACCAGCCTTCACTGAAACAGCATCTTCAGTCTCCAGACATATCCTGGTTACTCCAATTAAATCAAGTGTGGCATTTAATGATGCTGGAAAGAGAGATCTGCTTTTAGAACGTGGATTTGAATACCACAAATAACTGTCAAAGACGTGGTACACAACTGGGATAGATCTGCTGGGGGAAATGCTGACACGAGAGGGAGGAAATAAAGCTGAAATCTATGGAAAAGTCACTGGGATCCCATCAAAGGTTTCTGTAGGTTTAGAGCTGTACACCTGATTCTGGCTGCAGAGGTGAAGAGGATTGGGATGAGTAACTGAAAACTTATTTGCCATAAATTAAACAATTTTTTTTTTTCCCCTGTTAGAGGAATGAAACTGCCCCAAGTGATGCAATGGGTCAACCCGAAGACAGACACATTTGAAAAATACTGGAAATCCTGAAGTCAGAGCTTGTGAATGTGTTTGGTTTGTGTGCTGCCTTGGAGGAGAGAGAGAAGTTAATACTTTTAAAAGCTTGGTATTTACACTTCTGAAAAGTTCCTGCAGCTCATCCAAATTTGATAGGGCAGGACTCAAGTGCCTCAGAGTGTTCCTGACTGGGCACTTCTGCTGCTTTGGCACACGAGCACACGCAGGGTATTCCAGTACCAATGGATATGACATCTAATGCAGCTTTACACTGGCAGCACTCCTGAGTGGTTTGAAATGTTTATCAACTCAGTAGGTCAAAAGTCTGCAGACACTGGGTGGAGCAGCAGTATGCCACAAAACTAACAGTTGTCCTCCTAGAAGGGAAGAAAAAAAAAAACAGGGGAGGGGGGGAACAGTTGTCAGTAAAGATTAAAGCTCCTGGCTCCATTCCACATAGACAATGGGCTGGGTTGTGAAATGTGGGATCAGCACATCTCCACCCTCCAGAAAAAGCAGGTTCATCTGCGCTCTCTGAGTGCAGGGAAACACTGCAGGGGTTCTCAAGACCTTCCTGGTTTCTCCTGCATGGGGTTTAAAGCAGCAGCGTGTGGTTTGTGTCTCGGTGCAGGGTGTGGCTCGGTGTCACAGCCAGCAGGTTTAACAGCTGACAGGAAAATAGCTGGGCAGCTTCAGCCCTGCTCATGTGGTTCTTAAATTAGTGCTTGCAGGCATGAAATAGCTGCAGTCCAGTGTCCTCCCTGGGCCCAGATCTTCAGAGAGGATGATGGACAGGCAGTGCTGTCACTCCGTGTCACGTCCCACGGCAGGGATGGCAGCGGGGCAGTGTGACATGAGCCTCACAGTGACCCCCCTTTCTGCCCCATCCTGGCAGGAACCTACAGATCTGCCTCAGAAATACAAAGATCTGTTTTCGACTAACCCAGAAATCACACCTCACCCCTGGCATCTGTGCTTTTTCAGATCCAGAAATCCAGTTCAACACTTCACTATCCTCTCCTCTAAGAGGATACAGGACGTGCTACGGAAATCCAGCAGAAGTTACTGGCATGGATGTGGCATGTGCTAATCAGGATCCCTACCCTGCGTGTTTTCATGGTCACTTTAAGCTCTTTAGAACAGAAACCCCGTCCTTCACATCTCTCTAAAGCAGCTATCACACCTCCACAATTCCACATAATCTTACCATGACAAGTGCACGAGCTACGGAGATAAGGATGACAGGCTGCCCTGTTTAGATCTCATTTTCTGTGGATTTGCATCAAATGTCAGCTACTTAAGACTGTATCCATTAAGGCATTTTGCAGAACACACTACATTCTTGTCTCGGGGAAGGAATGAGAACCATTTTTCAAACAAGTGAAAACCATGCAGAAATGTGTATTTTCAATTATTACATTTTAGAATGTTAATACAGTGTTCTTCCAAAATAGCCCTAAAGGATGATTCTATTGAGTTGTAATAATTCCAAAGGATGCCTACTGATATGTCTATCATCTCATAACTGAAAGTTCTACAACGAGCAATGCTTAGCAATTAATTAAAAAATACTCCAAACTCTCACGTTGTTGGATTATTTTGGGTAACACACAGATTTAGTGACCAGCAAGCAGGATCCATCATTCCTTAGAAAATAACACCACTTAATGCTTGAAAGAAATTCTTGATGGCATGATTATAGCATTTTATGCCCCTATGAATATTATGACTGTAATGTGGAAGCAATTTATTTCACTCACCGTGAAACGCGTTGAGTTTGACTGACGTGTAACAGAGTGGCAAGTCGAAGAACACAAGCTCTGCAATCAGATCTTTCTAGGAAAGATGGCTTTTCCAAAATAGCATTTATGCAGCCTTCTGGCTGCTGCCCAGATCTGGCATACCTAGGTTGCTTTGATTTCATAAAGCTGAAGTGCTGACAGATCAGAATACTCTTATGTCACAGAGTGAAACAGGTACCACCACCCTGCATCACCAATTAGTCTGATTTCTTAAAGATCTTCCTATTGAAAAGCAGTCTTTTGTTTTTATGGAAGCCAACTATCAAATCAATGGATTTCAGCAGGATAGGGGCCAGGTGGTGTTCTGGTGCATTATATACACCAACCATCAGAAACATTTCTTTTTAAAGCCCCTCTCTTTTCTGCTCCCCATCTTTAGGTACATGCTTTGTAACTTAATGGCTTGACTTGAACTCTCTAACAAGAACTAACATCACATTTGCTTGTTTAACTCTAAGTGAGTTAGCTTTAAACCTTTATTACTTTTCAAACAGTAGAAGTAGAACCAGCTGAAAATTCTCTGATGATGCTTTTTAACAGTTCAAGAGGAGTATTCTGGCTGTCTTGTGAATGAAATAATTCTCAACTATTACATGCAACCACAGCCCAGGGCCTTTAGATCTGAAATGCTGCTAAGTTTAAAAAAAAAAAAAAAAATCCTTAAGAATATGCTTTGTTCCATAAGGTGTTTTTCTTCCCAAATGAAACCCCAGTGTAATTTCCTGTATAATTACCCTTGATGCAATCCTGCCATTGGAGTTTCCCTCAAGGGAAAGAGCTTTGGGTAGACAATGGTAAACATAGGCTGGCTGCAGCGGTGACAGTGTCCCAGGGGACAGTGCAGCAATTCCAAGAGGCTTTTGGGTAGCGAGATTGGAGTCAGAAAGTTCAAATCTGGAGGAGAAAAGAAAAAAAACAAACCCCAACATATTTGTAACAAAAGGATTGCATGATAAAGTCAGACACAACAAGCACAATCCATGAGCAGTTCAGGAAACAGCTGCCTCACATTCTTAGGGCCTTGTCAAAACAACAACGAGGTTAATACAAAATACCACAATTAGGGTGAAGCACACGGTGCTTTCCGTGTGCAAGTTCAAAAAGTTGAAGTTAAATGCACAAGTTTGGCATCTGTGGGAGTGAGACTGACTGGGCCAAAATATCCAGCTGAAAATATTACAGCAGGAGCAAATAACAGAAAACAGTAACAGATCATAAAGGATTTTTTAGACACAGAAAGGTGTTTAGTAACTAATACAACGTTCTGGAAAGGACAACAGTAGTATTTTACTAAAATGTTTCAACAAGCCATCCAGCAGGATAGCTAAACCCACTACAAAGCCCAAACTCCACCATCAGCAAAAAGGGATCTGCAATATTTGGAATGACTTGAAATACAGCCTAGCCCAGCATAATTCTCACAGGCCCAACCACAGAGACCACTCTAAAAAGATCAATACATTCCTAATCTGTTAAATGTAACCCCCACAGCTTACAAGATGCCATCATTTTCACCAAATGGAACTCCAGGGTCATTTCTTGGGAAAGAGCCATCATTTTCCCAGGCTTGGCCCAAGCCACAGAGTGTTTCAGAAATTAAACCCCACATGCTAATCTCCATCTAGAACCTGAGAGACAGCCAAGGCAGGTGAATGAGTTTAGGTGCTGAATAATCAGGACAAGATGCAGTACCTGATAAATCAGTTTTAGGTATCACACTGGTTTCAGCTTTCAAACCCTGTAAGGTTTAACCCCAGACAAAATGTACCAAAGAGCTCCAGCGAGGTGACAAACAGGACATTTGCGTCAGAAAGAAAAGGTCACACTCTGTAGCCAAGCAAAGGCTGAGGAAAAGGAGTCCAGTCACTTCTGTCACTTCCCCAGCAGCCACCAAGCATTTAACAGCACCCTTGAAACTGCAAATTTAAGCAGTGACAGATCAAATCTGCTGCTTTAATCACACAGTGCCACCTGCCTCCCCAGCACTCCACCTGTCTGAACCAGGCACTTCTCCTGCCTCCCCAAAATGGGGGTGTTCCAGTGGCAACACCCCCAGTCTTTAGGAAGGTCACTCAGAATAGGACATATATGTGTTTGTATGCATGTATATTTAAATCCATCTTTTTCAGGATCTGCACCTTGCCTGCAAATAGGTATAATCCTCCCAGCCTTGTAAAGACCACCTAGAAACCATCTCCTAACCTGGTTTTGCAATCCTACCTTGCTATTCCCATCCCAAACTTCACCAGCATCTTCAGGAACCACATTCACACAGCTGGACCCCAAAAATCATTGTGTAAGTCACAACTGGGTGAGGAAAGAAAAGACCTCCCTGCACACCTTTCCTGGCAAAGCAGTGGTTCAGCAGTGACCCCCTACCATAAACCCTCTAATCTTCCCACTGTAGCTCTCCACCCTTCTGCTTTCTTTTTGACCTTTAAAGCTGAGAATTCCCAAGATGGCATCAACAGGGGGGAGTCCCAGCACATGTAAACCTGACAGAATCTGCAGGTTACCATCAGATATTGCTAACTCATGTGGTTGCAGGATGCAGACCCAGATGAGCCAAGGGCCACTTTAGAGCTGAGCCTGAACTGGGGCAGAACTAAAGCAGCTCAGCTGTCAGGCTGTGCTCAAATGGCCCAGGGCTGCTCACATTTCTTTTGCCTTATGTATAACAAGTCTGCCAGTTTAGGATTGTGCTGCCTGGCAAGGAGTTGCATTGTTGGCTGATGCATCTGATCTTGCCTCGGGAACTGTATTTCTCATCTCCTATTTCCACTAAAGAGTTTCTCCTGCAAAAAAAAAGCATCCTTCTTTATACATCCTTCAACTAATTTATAAGCACCACTTGACCTCAGAAATAGTCTTTGGATCTTTGATTTTTGATATTGGACGTTTTTGTTCTAACACAGCATTTCAAATGTAATTTGATTAAATGCATCTTTTAAAATACAAATCCTCGCCCAACTCTTTGAAGGACTGTTTGAAACGTTCCTCCCACTGCCAGAAAAGCACTTTCACTGTTTCTGTAATGTGAGGAATGCAGAAATGTCATACCTTTCAGAAACCTGTAGTAGGTGTTATAGAGGGTCCTCATGGCCAGTTCTTGCAAAGGCAGCACATGATCTGTTTCTGTCCCTATAGATTTCACCTCTGCTGGCAGGAACACAGTTAACTGGCCTGATGAAAAAGAGAGCAGTTTCACCTCTGAAACTTGAATTGGAGAACCACAACTAGAAGGACACAAGACATTTAGAAAGTGGTTAGAAATAAAAAAAAATCATAAAAGTAACTTTATGGGGAAACCCAGATGACCAACCCAAAGTATGCCTGACACTGCTCTCCAGTGCAGCCCTCAAGGATTCCTTGCAGAGGGCAGGACACGTTGGGGTTGGACTTTTTAAAGGTCCCTTCCAGCCCAGACTATTCTGTGTTTCTATGCTGACATACATTTTATCACCTTCTGTGATGTGCTAGTCATGGGACATCTGGAGGAATTACTTATCAAATAACACACAGCAATGAGAACCCAATCCCAAGGGGGTGAACCAAATGCACTCTGTGCCCCTTACTTTGTGCTAATCTTTTAGCCTCTGAATTCCACTGTTATTAAACATTTAATGTAGTGGAGCCTTTCATACCCAACTTTGTTTCCCGTGTCTTGGATCAACCAGTTGACAACAGTCATGGATTTCTCATTTTTAACACACAAGGCAAACTCCAACCTCAAAGAAATACATTTGAAGTGCCACTGGGTGATTCTGTTCTACACCTTTCCCCATCCACAGAGCCCCCTTGGAGGTGAAGGAAAAACAACAACAGGGGGAAGATATCCTAGTAAATCTACCAGCCTTGCCCTTCCTAAATCATATATGGAAAGGGAAGGTTATTTGGATCCAAGGAGAGAAAGTTAGCTTGTAGTAAAAATAATGACTCTTTACGTGACGCCTGTTGTGAGTGATCAGAGCAGAGAGACGCAGAGGAAAATTCGACTCAGAGCTTGGGGAAGTCAACAGGGGAATTGGAATTGTTTATGACAACTGAAATGTGAAGCCAAGAGCAACTTGTTAGGGCCAGTCCTAACAAATGGAACAGAAACACAGATTTGTCAGCCTTCCCAGATATTGGACCTAAAAGTGAGGTAACGACTCTCGACCTTATCAGATGTGAAAGAAATCTCACGGTATGTCCCTGACAAAATCAAGCCTCATCCCCTCTGGTTAAAGGAGGAACAGCCCAGAGGAACAACCAAAAAAAAGCAGCATCAAACTGCAAGTCAATATGCCCCTTGTTAAATATTTAATACTTTCCTACAAGCCATTAGTGGGATTAAAATATAATTGGGAATTCGGAGATCCACTGTCCCAACAGTCCATTGCCCAGCAATCCAGATCCAGTGAGTTATCAATCACAACAAATGGACCTATAATGTTTTATTTTCAAGCTGATTAACCCCTTACCACCCTCACAAGGGAACAAACCCATAAATGTAGTCCCTGCAGTTTCTGCAGTTCAGAGCTGGGCCATTTGTCTACTTTAAGTAAGGGGTGAGGCTGTTAATGCCAGACACAAAATCCAGGGAGGTTAGAAAGTGGAACAGAGAATGGACTAAACAGCTGGGGAAAAAAATGAGCTGCAGAAGAACCCTGGTGAATAAATAACTGGGGCATAAAAAGCTGTGACCACCTATTGGCTGCCTTCTCTAAGACTGACAGATCCCTGACTGGGGCCTATGAAATCCAATCTGCAAAAAATAAGATCAAAATTTATTTTGAGTGCTGAGATCATCACCTCTCATATAAAAGACTTTTTTTTTTGTCAGTCAGTCTGACTGCAGGATGCCCAGACAGAGATCCATTACTTCCACAATGCCATTTATATTCTATTTTCAGAAATCAAGCTTTATGTTAGTAACAGCAGCTTGTCAGATTTTATTCTCCAGTGGATGACCAGACAGAGCACTAAAGCCTGGATTGTCAGCTCTTGCCTGACCCATGCAAACCTCAGCCTGGTTACTAATGCCTTCTTGGAAAGAACACAGAAATTCTTCACATCACCATTATTACACAATTTTAAAGTCACTCAGCACATTATCAAATAAAACCCTTGGGTTTTTCTGAATACATATATAAGTGCTCTTCCTATGTTGAAAATTTTTCTTAAAAGAAATCTACAATGTTTGAAGGTGGTTTCCCAACAAAGACAAATATCTGTTTGGTGCACAAATAAAATATTATTTTTCTTACTAAAAATAACCTCTTTTCTTTCTTATTAAGGGGAAACCAATTTCTTCCACAGAAGCACTACAAGAATTAATTTAATTGCAACACTTGCAACTTTTTTAGTCTCTTCCATGCTGGATTTAAAATACCAGATTGTGTGATTCTATATTAGATTTATAATCTCAGAGATACTGCAGTTGGCCTCACCAGCAGTGCACATGTAATGACAGAAGGAGAACGGGTAGGATCTTCACAAAAGGTCAGTGCAAAGATAAAATTATTTTGACTAAGTATAAAATGATATCTTAAAAGGTTTAAAAAATAAAATAAAATAAAGGACATGGTTGTATGAAATCACCTGAAACAGGCAGGTTGGTTGGACCAAACCTGTTGGAACATTTCCTGCACTGTCATTAGTGTTTCTGGTCACAGTCAATACAGCTCTGTCCCATTTAAGTTTAATTTCATGTCTGTCTTACAATTTACAATCAGTTCTGAAAGAACAAAGGGTAGAATTTCTTTTTCCTGAAAAACCAAACTGGTAGAAGCTCGAGAGTGCAGCCAGTTCAGAAGTGTAATCCAACTGCAAGGATTTAAATATCACCTACCAGCTGACACGGGAATATTAGAAAAACCTGAAAATGCCAAGACTCAGCATCTCCCATATTGCAGCAGAGTGCAGAGAGGGAATTTATATTTAATGCAAGATCTGCTGAGGGGGAGCATACCAGAAATTTATAATTAGAGGGTAATGGGGACAATCCTCTTCTGATCAGTTTTACACCAGTAAGGCTCCATTCATCAGTGGGGCTGCTCCTTATTTATGCCACTGTCAGGGCAGAAAGAATTGAGCCAGTGTCCTGCACACACCACTTTTTTCTTGCATCCTAACCACAAACATGAGACAGGCTGGGATATTTTTAAAATCCACATGTTAAAAATAAACCTGTCAATCCATAACTCCTAAAAAAGGTTAGTTAGTAGGTACCAAGACCTACAAGAAGCTGATGCTGGGATGTAAAATGAGTGAAGGAGCTGCACGTGGCACTCCAAGAGATGGCCCATAACTTACAGAAATGTCAGGACCAAACATGCTGCAACACATTAAAATATATTTTGTTCAGTCTTTACTTCTGGAAACTGTGAAGGCTACACTTTTGGCCAACCTTTAAATTCAGTTTTAGGTCTCAGATTATCATTACAAATTCCCTTGGAGTAACTGCACTGACTGCTACAACTCAACACCAAAATACTGGAAATCAGCAATTTACACCAAGTAAAACAGAACTGGGAGTTGCACTAATCCCCCAAGGTAACATCAGTGCTGGATCAATCACAGACACACAAAACAATAATCAGTGGTATAATATAGGAGATTTTTTACAAGGAACAGGTACACAAGACATCTGAATTAATTCATACCTACCCACTGCAACCAATGACTTTATTATACAGATAGGATGGGAGGCCTTTCAGGTGAATATTGTTATCCACATAAACATATTGAAGCTCTCGAGAACGACCTAAATCTGGGTTTAGAAAACAAAAAAAGTCAGGAGGAGAAGGGATGACACAGTAACAATCATAAGTAAAGCAATTCCCTTTAATTATAAATAAGCTAATCAGCCTCAATGCAAGCAAACATAAATTAGCTCTCCTCAGTAGTAAAATTTCAGCCAATGGTTTCATTATGGATGAGCTGAAAAGCTGTTTAGAGGAAAGCATTTAAAAATCACTAAAACAAAACAAAGCCCCCTTTCAGGAGCCCTGAAAAAATCCCATTATAAGTAATTAAATTTCAACATCGACGAACCCTGAAGTCAGTTTGAAGAAGCAAAGGGACAATTGATCTCAAATCCTCAGTGCATCCTTCAAGTTCACAAGGTCAAACCTGCTTTCCTCAACTGGCCTCGTGGCACTGGAATCACAGCTTGGGGAAAGTGGTAAAGACAAAAGCAGGAATGTGTTTGGCCCACTCTCACTTCTCCATGAGGATCCTTTTGGGTTCATCAGCCTTAACCAAGCAGCACTGCAAACACCCAGAAACAAGTCCGTGTGATGCAGTAAATTAAAGAACACGAGGTAACAAAAGGCATTAAACTGCTGGATGTTCTCCACGCAAAGCTGTGGTGCAGTAAGTGGTCGATATTTCTGAAGGTGTGCTGCTTGCATTACTGCTGCTAAAATATTCATGGCTGGTAGTCAAAAGGAGCCAGAACAGCGTGATTAAGTGGTGCCTTCACAGACCAGAAATCTATTAACATACCTCGAGATAGGAGCAGATAGGTATGGAATGAATTTTGTTTTGTTTAGAAAATTAAATTTAGGCTTCTTGGAAGAATTCTGAGAAATAATAACTTTGCTTGTCAACAAGAACGAGTCAGTGGTAAAACCACCTGCTATTAAAAGACGTGACAAACATAGTAATACGAGATGTTTAAAAAGACACCAAACTGAACTAAAAAGAAGAGCGTAAAAGAGTTTGGGACTGATGTGTGGGATCATCTGGGCAGCCCATCTCATCTGTGGCTCAGGAAGAGACATCTGTGTTCAATGCAAAGCACAAGCCACTGAACAGTGTTTAAAGCCTCTGCCCGGGAGGGGAGAGCTGAGAGCAGACAAACTGCATCAGGGAAAAACACAAATCAAAAATCTGTATACAAATAAAAAAAACTTCGATGGGTACCTTAGAGAAACTAAGACAAACAAGCATTTGGCTGGATCAGCCAAGTGAATACTCATATTGACTGACTTTCCATCTTTATCCACTGTCAGCTCCCTCAGCTGGCAGAAGGATAGGGGTAACCAGAGGGATGGGCACAGCTCCTGTTCCCTTTGGAATTGTGGGCAAGAACAGAACAAAAATGAAAACAATTCCCATGATATTTCTATTCAGAAATTCCATTTGGAACAACCATCTCTTCTAATTCCCTACTGTGACAACAGGTAATACAAGCCCTTTATTACTGAATAGTTTTCTTGCACACAAGATCTCTGGACACCACCCAGTGCAGATATTTTGAGTGATCCCTCCCCAAATGTGTGGCCATCCTAAAATACACTGAATGTCTTCAGCTGTCACCCACTTGAGTGGCAGCTGTGAGCACCAGAAACCTTAAAAGCTCACGCTGAGGAGTGACACATTATCAAAGCTTTGATAGAGAGAACAAGTGATGAAACCAAGAGAAAATGGATAGATTCCTTTTCTGAAATAAAGACAGAGAAAAAATAAGTTTTGGAGGGTTTTTTTTTTTGACTTTGAATACAGGCCCCTTGCTCTGCAACAGTCTGTGGAGGTTTCAGGGACCACAATTTGGGATTTGTTTAAACCAGAATCACTGGACATCAAGGGGCACAATTTGACCACCACATGGTGCTTTGAGCCCGTCCCAAAGACTTTCTAGTTCACAGAAAAATCTGCTGCTTCCATCAACTGTCCTGCCCCAAGAAGGGAGCACAAATCCCTCTGCTGACTGATGGGCACTGCTGAGAGATGCACCTCAAAAAGATGGTTTATTTTGGGCTCAGTATTGCAGGGCTCAAAATAGTAAATAGTAAAGTTCTGGGATATTTTGAGATGAAACAAAAAAAAACAACAACCCACATTGTTATCCTACAACAAATAAAATATTGCAACACCATAAAATTACTGTAAGGCTGGTGAGGAACCAGCCAATAAAATTTATAGCAGGTAGCAGGTGGATGGGACATAAAATGCTCAGAGAAAGTCCCCTCGTGCTGCAGAACCAAATTAGCCCCCAAAACAGCAGAAAACTATGGGTTGCTGGGGCAGCTTGAATGTGCTACAGTTGAACTTATTAATTTAGAGAATGGCAGAAAATGTTTAAAAGAGGCTCATCTTGCTGGTTCCTACACAGATGTATGCAAATGGGCTGAAAATCAGGCAAGTCAAAAAAAGCCCTAAAGCTGTTCTTTTCATATGCACTGAGAGGGGGGAGTGAGGCTGCATCTCATCTCTTCCCTCTGTCTTTATCTTAGGCTATGTTTAGATTCGAAGTTCTGAGTTGACTGCATTTCCTAGGTAATTAAAGCAAATTTTTGGATGTTAGACAAAATATCTCAGTAGGAAAAATTCAATTCCCAAAGCCAAATAGCCTGTAACTATAAATGTTCCTTTGATATAGTTTCTTTGCATTAAATAACCAAGCATCTTCTACACTCCAAAAGATTCTCCCCCCCCTCCAGTTTCAAACACTACCCATGAAGTTGAAATTCAAATAAATCATCACTTTGAAAAGCTCTTTGTATCCCCTCCACATTAATTTTTATGTCTTATATCAGTCAACAAATATTGTTAAAAGTTCTCTAAAAGCCACGCTTCTGAAGGACTCTGTGCAATGAGGAAGCTGCCCGGCTCTGAAAAGGCTAAAGCTACAAAGGAGGTTTTCATGTGGCTTTTGCAAGCACTGTACTGTGTCTAAAACATTTCCACTTTCCTCCTTCCAGGCTCCCCCAGATCAAAGACCTTTCTCCCAGAAATGACCAAATGCCATGAGTCCTGAACAAACCCCAATTCTTTTTTTTTTTTTCTTTTTTCTCCCTCTTTTTTTTTTTTTCCTTTTTTTTTTTTTTCCCCTCTAACCTCAGGGCCCTGGCATATGCATTCCACATGGCTGAAGATGGAACAAAAGCTCTTGTGTGGCTGCACTGATGCTCTTTTAACCATACTGTGAGGGCAAGGACACAAAAGCACCATATACTGAGGTAGAATAAGACCTTTGTTTACTGGGCACTGATAATTACTGGACCCATTTTCTAAACAAAAAGTGCACATAAGCCCTCAATAAAGTGATATAACACTGAATATCTGCTGTCATAACACCCCTCCTGTACTGTCAGTACACTTGAGAATTTATGGCCTATTTTAATTATATTTGTACTTAATTACATAAATCATTTTTTCTTTTTGCGACGTCATCAGATTCACATTTCTGCTTGCAGAGGAATTTGTTTTCAGGCACTGGAGCATCTCTTAAAGCTAAGAAATTTTAAGTTAATTTTCTGTCAAAGGCTAATTTATACTGTAAGCAGATTGAGATAAAATGATCAGCAGATTTCCTCAGACCTTTTACTGGGGCAGCACGAAGTTACCATGACAATCACAGGACTGTCCAGGATGCAGCTTCCAGTTCAACTTACACACACCATTTGTGGGGTTGTTTTTAAAAATTAAGTTTCCTAGGAAGGCCCACAAAGGCTCAGATCCACAGTGTCTCATTTCTTTGAATATAAACTGAAATATTCAGAGCTGAAAAAGAATAATTTTCATAAACTACTGGCATATCCAGCAATTAAATGTATTCTGCAAGACAAATTACTAATTCACTATTGTTTACCCACCTTCTTGTTTATGTACCAGTTCTGCAAGTCAGAGAGTGGGATCAGGTATTTTTACTGCATTTTGTAAAATTAATTAACAGTATTACACTGTTTTTCTTAAGACACAAGTGGCTGCAAACTTACAAGAATGTAGAGAGCAAAAAAACCTCCCTAGTCCCTGTCCTGCAGTGCAGTGCTACCACTGGAATAAATCTAATTTATCAGTCCAGGAACAGGAAAATGCAGATTTCCATCACCCTTAACAAGAGGTTCTACAAGGGACATACTCAGACAAGGAAAAACGGATTCCTTGGCATAAGCAGATGCCAACCAGCACGTGAAATAAATAAAGTAAATCACGCCTTAAAAAGCATTAAGCCATTTGTTCCAAACATAACTCTTCTAACATGGATATGTCTAATAAAAACAAGAGAAAGAACCCCAACCATTCTGTCAGGAGATGAATAAATTATCTGCTTTTCAACACAACTCCCCAATTGCAAAGAACTGTTGTGACAATACTCACTCGAGTATGACTTGCAGATATTTCTGCAGTACCTTCCACTGTCACTTAAGGTCCTTACTCAGCCATTAACTCATGAAGTGGAGTTGGAGGTAAGAATACCCACAAACCCCCCCATTAGCCAGTAAGCAGAAATAATGCCACAATTATGCCTTAACTCCAGCAATACTCCAAGAAAAATATTTTCCCATGCAACAGAAGACAGATTTAATCTTTTTGCTTTTCAATGCACTCTCTCTTCTACTTTATTTCAGCACATCTTGACCACTCTGAAGCCTTCTGATTCTTCAGAGGAAGGATTAAACATTTACATTTATACTGTGCTGCTTTTCCTCTGAACTCTAGGATTTATGATTCAGTTTCATATCCACAGATAGCAAATTATCTCCAAATGTTCACCAGTGAGTCACTATTAAGAACTACTGAACAAGGTCAATTGACAGTCTTTGATGTTTCCCGTTATTTTAAAAGTTCCTTTCGAATGTTTTGAATTTGACTCTAAAAATAAAGAAAAAAGAAGGTGTGTCATTACATTAGAGATTTATTTCCTCCTTTTGAACTTAAAACAGTTCAGCAGATCTGTGGCTCATCCAGGTCATGGTTCACTCACAGATAACCTACCAGTGCAAAAGTAGCAAAAACTTTTATCCTTTCATATTTCACATCTCATCATACTGAACAGCATCTTATTTTTGCAACATTGAAAATATTCAACTTCCTGTCTCATGGAGGTAGAAATACGTGCTAAAATAGGGGAAGTTACTTTGCTTGTTTTAATGAGTAGTGTGGAATCTGGATGGTGCATCCCGGGACTCATATTCTCATTTATACAGTGACACACGCTGGGACACAACTGAAACACTGTGTCTGGAGACATTATCTGCACTTGGTTTCCAGTAATACAAACTAAGGTGATAGGAAAATCAGGAAGATCATGAAGCTCTTCAAAGACTAAAACTGCTAGTACTGAAAAGATTAAGTCAAAGCTATACAATGTAATTAATTTGGAAATCACGATCTCATTTTCAGCCACCTCAATTTCCAGCTTCTTTCCAACATGATTATCGTAATTTCATCTGCACATAATTAACACCAAACTCTGTATTCTAGCAAAACTACTGCTGGCTATTCAAATGACAGGACAGAGCTGCATGTGTGTCTGTATTCCAGCAGAGAATTCCAGCGTTCTGGCCCCTGGCAGGGCTGAGAAGTGACAAATCCAGGGAAGAGGACTTGTCTTTCCCAAAGGAAGACACAGGGACTGCCCAGAGCAAACCCCACACACTGACTGCACCTCCTGCTCCTGACCTGCTTCCACACTTCCAAACTTTGGCAGGGTTGAGAAAAAGGCACAGGAATTCTTCCCTGGGATACTACTGTGGGGAAGTTTTGATGGATGCCTGTACACAGCACAAACTCAGCCTGTGCTGGATTATGTGGTGCTGATGTTCCTAATGCTGAAACACAGTTTATAGGGAGTTACTGGGATTCCACAGCAAGTTTTAAACCCTTGCTGAAGGATCTTGGTTAAATCCTCAGATCCAGCAAACAGAAACAGATCATTCCCCAAAGTGGTGGAACTCAGATTACACACTACTATATTTAAGCACAGCATCATTTCAACTTTTTTCCCCTCAGCTAGCTAAAAATAAAGCAAATTTGATAGCTGCCTTATTGCTTGAAAAAAGCCACGAAACCTTAACCTGCATTTTTAAAATTAACATATTTTCCAACAACGCCACCGGCGGTGACAACTTCACAAACAGAGTTTGCGGGGGGACCACCGAAGAGACTCACTTGTTGGGTTGGTGTGGTTTTTGGGTTTTTTTTTTAATTACTGGGGACAGAAAGTTTGTTTTCCGGCCGCCCCCGGCGCGGGGAGGGGGTGACTCACCCAGGGGCAGGAATGCCAGGCGGTTCCCGGCCATGGACAGCTCGTTGAGGCTCGGCAGCTGGCACAGGTGGCGGGGCACGTACCACAGGTGGTTCCTGTCCGCCGTCAGGTACTGCAGGGACAGGCACATGTGCAGCCGCTCCGGGAGAGTCATCAGCCTGTTGGTGGAGATGTCCAGGGTCTGCAGCTCCCTCAGGTCTCCAACCTCTGCAAATCCAAACAGGCGTTAATGATTACATATTTTCAACAAGACCACCACAAGAAAATATCTCAAACTGAAAAAAAGTTCATCAGCGAGCTGTGCTGCTTTTCGTTTTCTTAAAATACTGTTCTATCAATCCATGTTGAGAACTGACACTAAAAATCTCCATCATCTTCGTATTTCAAACCTTTCTGATGAGGAACACTTATCAGTTAGGCTGTGTGTTCAAAAATGAGATCATTCACAGAGCATTCCTGAGTTGTGGCAATTCCTACCATCAAAAATATTAAGCATCTTTCTAGTCCTAAATCAGAACTAGAAAAAACCACCCAAAACAAACCCAAAATACACAAAACATATTACAAAAAGCTTGCTAATATTGAGGGTGTTTTGCAGGACCCCAAAGTCACGCAAATTCAAGTGAAATGAGTGGGTTTTTCGACCACTGAGGATGATGCATTGAGGGATTATTAAGATTCTCTTCCACTGAGAGTTACAAACACATGCACAGCACTTCTTGCTCACTGACAGCCTTTCCCCCCAGGAGCACCACCTCTGTCTTCATAATACAATTCAGAAGACCTGTTTTAAATTAGAAATGAAATTTCTTGAAACCAGTTATAATGTTACAAAAGTTATATTGTAGGAAGATACTTCACTAAGTTCCAAGCTACAGTTGCAGTAACCACAGCTTCTAGAGATTGTTTTTATTGGTTGAAGAATTTAAAAGTACATTTTCTGTTTTAAAGAGCATTGTATAATTTTTTTTAACGCAGGCAACAAATTGCATTCTTAGAAGTCTGCAAGATGTGATCACGAAAGTACTTTCACTTGTGCAACAGTGATTTTCCCTGTGCCTGGCCTGTGGAACCGGGATGCAGGACTGCCTGACAAATACATTTAAAATATATTAAGCAGACCTACAGGTTATCTAATTGCTCATTTAGTTATTCTTTTACATACTGCATAATTCTATAAATTATTTCCCCAAAACATGGGGAACAGTTTGCCTTTGTTTTTTCAATACTTCACAGCAGTGGAACCAACTCACCACGTGCTCAGTGCCCCCTAATCCTCCCTGCAGTTCTCAGCATCTTGCAGACCCAAATGTACTTTGCTTCTCAGCTGAGTGGAACCAGCTCTTGCATCTGAGAGCTGCTAAAAACAAGATTCACTCGAATTTTCTGCACTGAAAACACCAGACAATCTCCACAATCTGTACAATTTACAGCTCCATCTCCCAGATTTTCTTACAGAGATATAAATAGGGGTAACGCTGTTTAAGTTAAAGCGAAACAGAACCTGTTGTGCCCTTGAGCTCTTTGCAGCAGGAACTCGAAAATTCACTGTTCCCCGAGCTCTGAGGTAGCACCTTGTATATACTACACCCAGAGAAGGAAACAAAACACCAGGTTAACTCCAAGCTGCCTTCTACACAATGAGGAAAAGAAGCTGACTTTGGAAAAAGCAGCTCTAAACGTTACTTTCAAGACTGGAAGAATGAAAAGGCAACAAAGGGAAGCTGTAATTCAGCATTAGAGATTTTCACACAGTAATTAAACAAAATGTGTGTGCACATTTAAAAGGAGTTTCTGCCCGCTGCAAACAATCCCAGCATTAACTACAATACTCAACAACACAGTATATGCATCCCTTTATAAATATTACTGACAGAAGCAGCTGCTGAAGACAGATGACCACATTCTTCAAACCTCCCAGTTTTTATGTCATCAGGAATAATAAGCTTTACTCAAAAAGTTGGTTTGTTTTTTTTTTTTTTTAACAAGATTGAAAATAAATGACAAAAGCAAAATAATGGCTACTAAATAGCACAAAACTACCGTGCAAAGAACTGCAGCAGATCTCATTTTGAAAGAGTTTTATATTCATCACAAAGCCATATGCTTGAAAACAGTGACAGGAAAAGAGCCACCTACATTCAGCCAAACCACTGACCACATGCAGTCAATAATAGGCCCAGCTATTTTCATGCACTAACCTTTTTCTCTGCCACTAAAAACAGTTCTCTAGTTCACTTTAGGTCCAAAATCCCATAAATGTTACGGTTGGCAAAGCTGGCAGAGTTTCAAAGGCATTGCTAGAATGATATGTTTCAAATCTAAGAGGAAATAAAAGTATTCTCACTTTATCCTTCATCCAAAAAACACATACTTGCCCAAAACTTCATCCTCTCTACCTTAATCTTCCAATGCATACCAGATGTAAACATCCACTTTCAACACACAGTGCCACATGTTGCAGAAACACCCCCGACCCACAGTGAAGCTAAAGAGTAAACCAAACAACACCAAGTGCCATCATATTAAAAATATAACCCTCACATTAAAGCAATAACCCCCAGACTCTCCACTCCAGTGCTCAAAGCTCTTTTTGAAGAACGTGCTCAGACATTTACTAATGACACTAAATTGGCTTCCGTCTCATGAAAGCAAAGGAAAACAATAAAGAGGAATAACACAAAATATAAACAGTCCATTAATAAGGTTTTTCAAGCTTTTAGTTACTAAATACTATTATCCATGCTTTAAAAGCCTTGCAACATAAATACTGGAGGAAGCCTTGGCTAACAAACACAGTGAAAGATTTGCAAATCCCTCCCTTGCTGTCACCTCATCAAGCACAAAGATACACAAGAAGTGAACTTTGGAAATTTCCAGCAGATCCAGAAAGGAAAATGGAAAAAGAGTTGATGAGGGGACTTGCAGAGATTCCCCCCACCTCCCCAAGGATAAGAAAGAGACAAGAATTACACATCACCCTTAAACCCCATTGAGGACCTCCAACTGCATTTAAACAGATTAATAGAGGTGTAATTTAAAATTTCCATCAGCTCCAGAATTAACACCATCAGACCCAGCCCAGCAGAGCGCTGAGCCCCCACTCTGGTGTCAGAAGGCAGCGAAGAATCCTCAGCTGAGCCGCAGACCCAGCCCTGTGGAGGCAGAGCCCCAGCACGACCTTCCCGTGTGGGCTCCTGGCCCTGCGTTTCACCCGTGTCCATGTGCATGGATTCCTGCCATCACACGGGGCTGGGCGATTCCACAGGCAATTCCATCTGGCACCAACGTGTTCGTGGGGCACACACAGAGGGCTGACAGGCTGTGAATCCACACCCGGCCCCATCTCCCCGACACGCCGGGCCGGTGCCCTCACGCTGCCCCCTGAGGGGAGTCTGAGGCACACAGAAACCCTGCAGGATCTATTCTAGAACTGTCAGCCCGGGAGTAATAAATTCCACCTTTTGCATCCCTGATAAGGTGCAGATTTTCAGAAGTGATTTCTGGAGGCTCCCAAAAAGCAGCCTTGGCATTTGTTGTGAGGAGTTTTCCCAACGACTTGGAAAAAGGACAAGTGAACTGTCATGTCGTGCACTTGGGTTTTCAACAGAAAACTGCCTGATAGGTCTGTCCCCACCCCCAAAAAACATCAGCAAAGAAACATCAGTATACCTTTTTTCTTTTTTTTTTTTTTTTAACATAAAACCTGGAAAGAATTTCAGGAAATTTCCAAAATGACTAACCTTCTAAGAAAACTGATTGTGTTTGTGTAAACATACCCAGAAACAAGAAAAAAAAAAAAATCCATGTCTCATTCAGGGGGTTCAAATGCCAGCTTTTAAAATTAATTCCCCTGGCTTTATGTGAAAGAAACACAAAAAACCCATCTGGAAATAAGCAGCCTATACAAAATAGAATAATTGCCAAAGGCAACTCAAACTTCCTTAATCTTTCTGGGGGTACAGGCCTCACCAGCTGCACGACCCAAAAATAACTAACAGTTTTCTCTACATTTCAAGAGTAATCCCACCTTTCCCTGATGGGCCATAAACCAGAATTTCATCCAAAGATATATGAAACACATACACAGTTGGATTGGGGTGTATGGAAGGCATGGGTTTACTTTAAATCTGAGTCTTTATATCGCAGTAAAGTTAAAAAAAGGGGGACAGGAAAGGGCTACAGACCTACCTGCATGAGAATGCACCTCAAAGCAGGATATTAAGAGAAAGCAGAGAACCTACAAGGAATGGAAAAAGGGACTGATCAGCAAAGAGAGCTCTGGCACTTGGAGGTCAGGCTGCACAAGTTCAATGCAAACTGCCAGGAGGCCAGGAAAATGGGGACCCACAGACAGACAAAAGGTTTCTCAACCAGAAATAAAAGAGCAAGAAAAGAAGAACTGGTGTCAACAAGGGGTAGAAATGAGGAGGACAAATGTAATATTAAATTAGCTTTTTGCATCATTTTTTCCTGTAAGAATAATGCTGTGTATGAGGACAGAGACGGAATACCTCATGGGAACAAGGACAAAGCACTGCAAATTACCACATCCATTACTAAAATGAAATGAGGCTGCTTAAAAAAATTCCATCCCAGAATACTGGAAAAAAAAAAAAAAAAAAAAAAGGGTTATATATCAAAATTGCAGACTCAGGCACGAGGATTCTCAATGAACAGGACATTTTCTGGGATAGCAGCCTAGGGCTGGAGAAGGAATGTAGAACCTGTGTTCAAAAAGCCCTGTAAATGCGAGCTCAGCTCTCCCCAGCATCTCACAACAACTGTGCTAAGGGGAAAGAGCAACCAGTGACTGGAAGGTAAACAGGGAGCAGAATGAAAATGCAACCCAGATCTTCTCAAATGTAAATCATGTCACACTGGCTCACTGTTCTTTGATGAAATTTCCTGGTTACTGGTAACACATGAGTATCACATCTCATGGCAAATTACTGGGATGGAGAAAATATTACTAGTGGTGGTGTTCCTCCAGGCTCTGCTTTGTTCAGACCCTCCATTTTGCAGCTGGGTAAAAATCAATATTAACTTTTGAGTTGCTATCACACAAGCACTTAAAGTAATAAATAGCAAAAAATTGTCACAGAGGAAGAAGAGCAACAACTTTAAGACTTAAGTAGTAGAAATGGAAAGATAAAGAACACAAAATCAGCTTGATAAGAAGGGGCTGCAAGTCAGGGCTCTGCTTG